TAACCTGTAGAAACAAATACATAACAAAGCAATTAATGGAGAACACAATCAAATTGTTATAATTTGTAGGGCTAGAGCCAGAACAGAACGCTCCAACATACCTCAGTACTACTGTGGAAAGACCGTTTTTGTTGAACTGAGAACGTCGTGACTTTTCTGAAGTGAGTGTTCTTGTGAGTTAGAAATCCACATGAACTCACCCACTTTTTTCTGGTCAAGGGATTGTAACAAGTGGGCTATGTCACAGCTGACTGAATTATATGACCACTACCTCGAAAAGTTTATCGCTATTTCAAGAATAACTTTTTCTTAATCCAGTGGTTTGATGAGAACAATGCAACTTTTTCGAAATGACCAGCATCACAATTATTATTATTGCGAAATCTACTATAGATCTAATTATGCTGGGCGAAATAATCTACTACTCTAGGGCTCGCCATATATAAGACATGCTGAAGCAGTCTATACTATTCATACAGAAGAATTGCAGGAAACTCGTACTTTGATATCATTATCATTTTAAAAGTTCATCTTATTCCGCCTTGTCCTAATGTTTTCCATGTGTGTTTTTAGTTGTTTCTTTTTTCGTTTTGTTTCATTTTTTAAAAACTTCTTTTGTTTTTAAAGAGGATGAGTTGGTTTGAAACGAAATGTGTGTATATGGTTGGGGGAGGGCACAGGGGTGGGGGGGAAAGGGGTTAGGCAACTCTTTCCTATATTATGTAATTTACAAAGCAGCCATCGTATGAGGTTAGATTGATTTGATTTTCTATTCCCGGCTTGACGTAAAAACATCAATAAATGTCGGTTACAACAAACTGAATAAATGAAACAATAACAGCAGCAAACGAAACCCCAAACTTTTTCTGTAATCAAAACATTTTCTAATTGTTTTGTCAATCTGTGGCAATTTTCGACGCACTTTTGCTGTGGTTTTCTTCTTTTCTCAATAAACCGAAAGAACGATGTTTGGTCAAAAGGTCTACTTTCTAAGCCCATGTGCCAAATATTTGCTTTCATTCTTTCAACTCCTCCGTCTTCTTGTTACTCATCAAACTTTGACGTCATTTCCTTCTGCAGAAGCATTTTAGTTTTGTTACACCTTACTCATTACTTTACATAGGTCTCCGCTATATTTGTAGTAAGTTTTACAGCATTTGCAATACAATTATGTTATATTATTATATACGCCGACGATTAGAAGTGCAACTACAATGTAGAGGGTAACATACGAAAAAAAAGGAGGCGATATAAGGGTGATAGAGGTTTTATACGGAAGAAGGAGCAAAATGCACCAGAGCACCCGCCCGCCAACCAATCACTATGTGTTTCTTTTCAATTCTTTGTGTACTATGATTTTGCAGAACATGGTTCCATAGCACACAATAAAGGACATTAACATACTGGCACTTACTTAGCTCAGAAAACGTGAACTTTTCTGGGTGTAGTGCCCTCAATAATAATAATAATGAAAATTTTCAAATATATGTGAGGCGTGCTGACAAAATGAGTTACTTCTCGCATTCACCAGATGGAGATATTGGCCAGAAATCGACACAAGGGCCAAATTTTTAGATTTTCTATTGATGCCATTTTCTCTAAGTATAAAATGCTTTTTACTTTTTCATACTTAAAAATAGTAAAAACTTCACCTTTAAGCGTGGTATACCTATTTCCATTGGACTCGAATCCAAGAAGCTACTCATTTTGTAAGCACGCTTCACAAATCTTTATAAAGTCAACAGTGTTGTCTTGAAGTCCTCGAAGGACAACCGGTGCCCCTGGCTACGGTCAAACACTTGCATGAGGTCCAAGAAGTCTTGGTTGCATAGATTGTAGCCTAGCTGGTTGAAGGACTTCCTCAGCTCTTCCTCTTCGATGTAGCCATTGTGATTGAGGTCGAAAAATTTGAACGAGCCTCGGAGAGTTTTGAATCTCTTCAAAAGCTGAAATAACGTGTGGAAGGGTATGGGAATCATTCATTCATTTGCAAGACAGTATATAGTTTTTTGTTATGCACATACTAAACCATCCATAGATAATACAGTGTTTGTGCTTCTTATTATTATTAGAATTAATCAAAATTAACTGAGCTTGCAAAATTACTTTAGTACCTGATATTTATTGCATTTGATACTTTAGATTTTTGCAACAATAGGGCTATCATGAAATATACCATTTTACACATGTTGCTCTACATGAGTCTTGGGTCACAAAATGTAACATGATGTTAATTCATTATTTCACCCATTTCTGATCACCAAAAGATAACAAGACATTCATCCATTTACTGCAAGACAAAAATCATACTCTCAACACATCTTATCTTACTGCAGCCTTTTTACGATGTTATGGAACATCAAAATCTTTGAAGTCTGTCTGCCCACCCCCCTCCCCCAAAATTGTCTCATGTTTGAATATTTTTAATCTTTGCGAAGCAAAACATATCAACAGCTCATGCTAAAGTATCTTCTCTGGTAGACAAAGGTACAAATGTACGAGAAAAACCAAGACCTAATACATGGAAAACAAAGCTGACCTCATCTGATCTTCAAGGGAGAGAAAAAAGCCTAATGTCACAAAGACATAATAACAACACAAGGTCGTCACGGTCAAAACACAGTAGCTCAAGTAATTTTTTAAGGTGTCCAGTTATAAGGAAAAAAGGCCTGTTACTAGTTTTGTATCCTCAAAATAGAAGGGTCAAACTTGTGTAATGAAAATTCAATTATTATTGGGGCATTTTCTCTTTTGCACAAGTCATAGGCATGAACAGTTTATTTTTTAAGAAGTTTTCTAAAAATAAAAAAACATGACGCAGTTAAATCATTGTAGTGTCGTTATGATCATGTCGATGTGGTGTGGTAACTAAAGCAGCTGTAGCCAGAGCACACTTACAATTCCTTTGAGCTCAACCAAGAAATCAAAGAGAGTGATAGCCATGGATGTGGGTCCAGCCTGTAATGAGACCAGAATATTTGTTAAATCAGAAATTATTATATTATATGTGAGCATGTCAAGGTATATGAAGGCATTCCTCGACATACTAGTATTTATCATTCCATAAGTTGCACATTAAATTAGAATATTGAAATATCAGATCTCAATATCCCTTCTTAACAAAGCACATAGCGACTGCTCAGCATAAGACTCTGTCATACTCCACTTTTCTAAATGGCATGGCAGAGTCTTTACGCTAAGCAGTCAATATAAGTGTGTTTTCAGTTTCGTAAGAAAGAAACTTGAAATCAAAGCACATTTTTCAGTTTTCTTTACTTCAAATTAAACAACTTAAAAATGTGTCATGTAGCCTACAATTGTAGCAATAAATGAAAGATGAATCAACTAAATGGAATCAATAACATCATTTTCTGCAGTACTGCACTCTCAATATTTTTCTTCAAAGACAATATAAAAACCTGGCCAATGAATTTCTTTCGATTAAATATCTCAGTGATGGAAAGCCCCAAGGCATTCTACCCCAGAATCTTGTTTATTTAACAAGGTCAGCACCATGTTCCCGACTCTATCCATTCACACCAATGTCTGTGGTGTAATGGTTAGGCGCTTCCCTGCCATATGCAGGAGATCCGAGTTTGATTCCTGAATGGGGAGAATTTTTATCAAGGGTTTTTTGATGGGATGTTGTATTCTTCTAAGCTGGGCTGGCCCTGACAGGAAGGATCTGAAGTCTGCCTCTGAAATGATTTGAATTGTGTCAATGTCAATAGGAGTGCAAAAACATCCACATTCAAAAAGATAATTCTTTGTATCTATTTACCTTCCTGTGAAGTCGCTTAGTATGAATGTCATAGACACAAGGACTGACTCCCTGGTCTGGCACCAGTTTCTTCACAGCTTGCAGGAAAGACAGGTAGTGGAACCAGCCATTGGCATGAAGGTCAAAAAAGTTGCACAGTTCCCCTCTCTCTGTTTTGTTCAGTGGGAAGTTCATCTTGTAAGCAATATCCTATTACAAAAAAAAATTAAAAAATGAAGCCAATAAATACACACAAAAAAACAAACCCAATTAAAACTGTGTACTAAAATTTGAATGTGTGCCAAATTGATATGTGTTGTAAGCATCAAGAGATATCATTGCTGTCGCAATGAAACCATGTAAGCCCAAATTTTGTGAATTTCGATTTTACACCCTCCCAAAGCTCTATCAAAGATACACTTTTCAACATCACCAAAACGCAGTTTAATGATATAGTCAAGGTTTACAACTTTCTTGCTTTTCATGATTTCTAATGGGAACAACACAACAAAAACTTCTTTTTTTTTCTCTGGTGTAAAAAGTACCCAAACGGACTTAATTCGATTGATTGCGACAGAGACGATACGCTGCAGTATATCATTGTTCTGTTTCATTATTTCCTTCTCAGTTTTTAACAGGTGCCCAAGTCATAGTTCTGACTTGAGCACTCGCTTTCTCTTTAATTTTTCTCATAACTTAAAAACCCCCCAACAAACTTAGGCGCTTGTGGAATGATGCTGGCGTAATCTTCAGCTTCTTTTGTATTTGAAACATGTCTAAGCAACATTTGTAAATGACGATGGGAATGCAAAATTTGTGAAGTGTATATTCTCTTTCATATACACTGTTTTTTTGACAATCATAGAAACATTTATTTACATTATAGATGAAAGTTGGAAAAAAATAGCACAGCATAGAACTCTAGTCTAACAAAAGGCACTGAAAACATCACACAACAATTGTCTACTTTATGAAACAAGAATGAGACAAAAAGGGAACATAATTTTCTTCCTTTCTGCTGTTTCCGTTTATCTTTCTCACTCTTTTGCAACACTACGTGACCAATATTGAGTTAATGTGCTTCTCTTTACTCACAACAAACATTAAACATAAAAACAGCTTAAGTACCCGCATGTCTTGTATCGACACTGACGCGTAACCATCTCTGTCCAAGCTGAGGAACATGGAGTAGATCACATCCCATCGAGACAGGACCTGACATGGATGCAAATAAAAAGAAGCTTTAAGTGAATCCTTTGCCAATAACTTTCCTGACTCATTAAAAAAAAAAGAGAAGGACTTCTTTCAACTCAATCAAAAAACTCCCACACCATCATCTTCTTTTAACTGGATAAAAAGAAACAGAGAGTCATCTTCTTTTAGCAGGATAAAAAACAGCATCATCTTCTTTTAATGGTTGGGTAACTGGACGGAATAGGTCTTTCTTCTTTTTTTTCATTCTTCACCAGCGGCAGTGTACTTCTTGTTTTTGACACAAACAAAACAAACATTCTTTAGCTCTTTTTAGCATAAAATAATTGGTAAATTAACAGTACAATCAACTTTTTAAAAATTTCACCTTGAACCATATAAATTGCTAACCTAAAATGATCCTTTTTGTAAAAAGAAAATGGCAGCAAATAATTTATTTATGCAGAAAGCCATTCAAAAGTTAAAGACAAAAGGTTTTGCTTTTCATTTCCATGACTGATCATTCCGGGCAATCTGTACTCACATCATCCTTGACCTTGTTGAGGAGCTCGGTGAAACGTCTTTCTTTGGCACTTCCTGTGACCAGCTGCGGCTGCTCCACCACCACAACGACAGGCGACGTCTTCTGTTTGTTGACCCCATTGACATTGGCAGATTTCTTCTGGGACTTTGCCGTAGACGGTTTTTCTGCAAGACCAGTAACAATCAGGTAATGTTATAGTTATGCAAAGTCAATATCAACCCCAAATATAGAACCAAAAACAATCATCATTGAGCTGAGCCTATTTCCACTGTTTAGTGTAAGACTCCACCATACGCCATTTTGAAAAAAGACGTATGAACAATTTTTTCACCGAGCAGTTGATTTTGTTTGGAACTGTGCTGTAGACATCAAGAATTTCTGTCCCACAAGATGGCAAAGTCATACAAGGCTAATACAAAACCCAAAAAGTAACAAAAATAATATTCGACCTCTTTTAAAACTTTAATGCAACCAAACTTAGTGATAGACCAGTCACCATGGTTACCCTGTAAGTCACAGGAGGTCAATACCAATACAACAAAAAAAGTACTGATGAAAACATTTAATTTCTTAAATAAGAGTAAGTGAAGGAAGAAATCCTTTTCACTAGGAAAATCATGTTAAAAATATATGTGTAAAATAAAATCTTAATAACATTGTGTAAAAAAAATACTTCTCGCTCTCAAGAACACGAGCCTTATTTTAACCAGTGAAACATCTGGATTGGGAGAGTAAAGACCAGCGCAAAGACATAATGACATAGCTCAGGCCTCGAGTACCTGCTACTGATGGCTGATGTTTCTGCTGACCACTACCGAATGTCTTGACCAATGTGGCGTAGCTCAGCGTGTTGTCTGCTGCAGTGTCCAGTGTAGCCCACAGGTGGTCCAGATCCTTGACCGTTAGAGTGATACCGCAGCTGGTTATGAAGAAAGAAAGATAAAAAAATAAAAAATGAAAAGGCATTTTCTTTCCTCATCCTTACTAGCATCCTTTTTTCCTCTACTTCTTTTGTATGTTTGTCACTCTCTTGTGAACTGCTATTTCCGGGGTGCCTTGATAGTCGAAGCAGACTTTGTTTGGTTCAGGCTGGAGAGGTAAGCAGAGTAAGTCTGATTCCCTGTTTGGACTTCTCTGTTGATATCCACCTATGGCGCTCATATGACCTGATGCAGTTGCGAGCATTGTAAAACCTTGCTAAAACAAACTAAAACAAAGAGAAAAGACATTCATACATGAATTTAACATTAATTCTAAATACCCCCCCCCCCCCCCATAAAATTATGGATAAGAGATGCATGTGTATATGTGCATGCTTGCATGCGTGCATGCGAGTGCATGTGTGTGTGTGTGTGAGAGAAAGAAAGAGAGAGAGTGAGAGAGAGAGAGTGAGAGAGAGAGAGAGAGAGAGAGAGAGAGAGAGAGAGAGAGAGAGAGAGAGAAAGAGAAAGAGAAAGTGTATATGAACATGATACTTATGGTAAATAAGTAGGCCTACTTGTCAGAAGAAGACTACGGTAGTCTACACAAAAGCAATATTTTCACTCCACAGTAGAAGGAAAAAACCTCACATACGAAAAAATCAGTTGTACCGTAGGGCTGGGGAACTAGAAGTGAACTACCCTTGAGGTCGGGCAGGGGCATACAAAAGAATAAGATGAAGATTCCCCAGTAACGCAGGTGATGTCAACCCACATTGCTTTGTTTTATCAAAGACATAGGCCAACAGAAAGCAAAGAATCAGACCCATCAAACACAAATTTCCCGGTTTCTAACTATATTAAATAGAAGTCAAGCAACTCGCAGAAAAACCAAGGTGTTAAAAAAAAAAATTTCCATTCTGTATGCAACTAGATTTCTGACGAACCAGAGTATATTGTTGTGTATGATATGAAACAGGTGGTTGGAGGGCGCTACTGTTAGGTCCTACTTCTTTATTATCCTTCTGTGGTTGCTGTCAGTTCATTTAGCTTTTACCCAGCACTAAGTGACCGCTATTAAGTTGATGTGCTTCTTTTTACTAAAAAAAACAAACAACAAAAACTGTATGATACAGACATAGTGACTGATATCTATCTCTACGGTAGGTCTATTAGAATTTAATAAGTAACTAAAAATACATACAAACCAGGAATTACTACCACTTGTCCAAGACGACACTGGTACAAATCATCACTCCCCATCTTCCCCTTTGTGCTGTTCAAAGCATCATAATGACACCATACAAGACCTCCACCTGTCTAAGACAATCTCTTTTCTTCTCGACATTGGGTGGCCATTTCGGACAATTTTGATTTTTACAAACAAACATGACAGTGGAAAACTCTTTACTCACAGCTTGATCAAGGCTCCAAACTGCCACTTGCTCATGTGACCCGAATGGCGTCTGTCCATGTCTTGGAAGTTCTGTGAAACAAAAGAAATTCCTAGTCATTCATGAATCACAAGTGAAGTTGCACAGACAAAAAAACCTTTCCATAGATCCACAAGAGTAAAGGGTTTGCAAACCACCTAATTCTAAGACTTTTGCTTTGTATTAGAAGTCGCTACCTTATTTAAATCAGAAGTCATGAAAGATTATGCAACACCCTTGGCCATATATTTTACTTTTTAAAAAAAGTATCTTTGAGTTGCACGAGTTTTTTTTTTGCTTCCACCACATATATAATTTTATATACTAGCTGGGCAAAGGAATGATTGGTGCCCTAACATCAACTGAAAGTCATTGGCCTACTATATTACGCTCTTCTGGAATGGAGCAATAAATCTTGAGAGATGCAAAAAATTAGAAGGTCTAGACATCTAGATCTATACTCTCATATCAAAATGCCCCTCGTGATATATCACTTCCAGCATTTTCGCTGAGGAAGAAAGCTACGCAGATTTGTTTCGTTTCTGGTGGAATAATCACAAAGGTCAAAGAAGGACGCGAACTTTTTGTCAAATATATTTGTCTAAATTCAGTGTCTTAAAAGAGCATTGAAACTACAACATATAAGTCATTTTAAAATTTACGAACAGTCCAAACAAATACAAAGAAGGATCATGTCATGTTACTCCCTTGTCTTTATGAAACATGACCAGTCAAATTGGCCGCTAACTTGATCCCCCATCCATGTAACAAATGACAAGAAAAAGACATTACTGTTGAGTTGAGAATTTACTACATGTCAGCACAATATCAGGGACATAAAAAAAAAGAAACTTAAAGCTTTGAGTGACGGAAAAATAAGAAGCAAGTCAATGTCTAAAGAGTAGGGGCCTATATTGCAGCAAATGAGAATTTTTCTGTAACATAGTAACAAGTATAAAAAAAACAGTTACCTTGTCGAAGACATGGAACCTGTCTGTGAAGAGTTTACTGAGTTCCTTTCGAATCTGCAATTGAATACAGAACCTCCATTAGTACATAAGCATGGTTGTTTTTTTTGTTGCACACAACAACTCTTTGATCGATACAGAACCATGATTTCAGTAAAGTAAACATCTGACTTCTTTCGATAGCTTCATTAAAAGAGAATCAGAGAGCTGAAATACCCCTGAGTGAAATGATGAAACACGCTGTAACTCAAAGTAGTTAATATCAACAGCCATCTGCTAATGGCATCAAGTACCATATACACTGAGTAAATAGTATTCAGGAGACATTCAAAAACAATTTTAACGCTCAACATGCAGATAAACAACCAATACAGTTAAACCAGCTCTAACGACTATCTGTCTGAGATGTGAGATGATCACCTGAACCATAGACCACTTCCTACTTTTCACCTTGCGTTTCTTTTTTCTATATTTGATTAATTTATAATTAAATTGTCAAAGAAGACCATTTGTCTAAGATGAACACTTTTCTCTTACAACAATGTGTGACCTTCTGGGACAGATTTGACTATATTATATACAGGACAAACTGCTAGACAATGCATTCATCATTAAGCTTGTGTAGTTAAAAAAATAATTTTTTACCTATTTTTTTTAGGCGGAGTTACTCCACAAGTAGTCCCCTACAAAAGTCAAATACAAATAAATGAAAAAGGAATTATTCCAAAGCCACACAAAGAAAATTAAAAAAAAAAATATCCCCAAAGAATAAAAAGTCATCTAACCTCTGCCACTTTGCTATTAGCAGCTGCGTCTCTGTCGGGAGCAGGTGCCATCCAAGTTTTGGCTTTTTCCTGCAGACGCATCACCGCACTGGCGGGTGCTACATCACCAAGTTGGTACTTCTGCGACATCCATTGGCCATTCTGGCGTCTGTTCCAGTGACCAGGCCTGGCAATGAATCAATAGCATGCTATGAATATCTCTGTGCTACAGGAATAAATAGCAAGCTATTGATAGTCCAATACGGCAGTGAATAAATACCATGTCAAACAAAGTTCTATGTTACGACTGTACTGTTAGAACTACATGATTTCAACTTAAAGGCAATAAATTGTACAATACTACTAAGACACTGACAGAAATACAACTTATGGGCCTTGAATATAAGCACCTAGCAGGGTCATACAGACATATGGCTGACATTAATTTGAACAGACAGAAGCACAGGGATGGTGACGGTAGTGCTACTGGCAGTGAGTGGTCAGGGTAGGAGAGAGAAGGCATAATGGAGTTTTTCTCCTGTTTAAAGAATGTGAACAGTGTCCCCAGTATCATTAACCAAATCATCAAAAGCCTATCAAGTAACGAAGACATTTTTGACCTGTTAACACAATCGTTGAATATAGTTACTTATTTCGATATATGAAAACTGATTCAAGGCATCCATTTTACACAACATTTTGTTTAGGTAATACTTCTTTGCTCTCTGCTTCAAATGCTCTTGATCCTATCAATGAGAAAGACGACATGTTGGAGAAAGGACAGTCTAACATGCACTTAGCGGAGCATGCACAAAGCAAAACACGCACATAGAAAAATAGGCACACAGCCAGTAGATTTTCAGGTCCCAAGTTTCTTTGAACAGGTATATTCTTTGTATTTAAAACACAAATAAACATAGAGAAATTCATACATAACAAACAAATTTCAGTGTCCTGCTGATTTAGCAATGTGCATGCTAGATTGTACACAAATAACATGAAAAAATGCAGTTCTCAGACACGTTTCTGATAAAGTCCTTGGGGAAGACACCTTGGACAATTTTTAATTTACTAAATAGTCCTTACTTAAAGCCTAATATCCAAGTCTCTATTCTTTTTATATCTCTTTTTACCTCTTTGAAACATTGATGTGTGCCCAAGTAAATGATAAATAAACTCACTCTGAATTGAACAATTCCAGGAAGGAGTTGTAGTCGATCGCTGGGCTGCCATTGGCTGCATTGTAACTTAGACGCTGAATCAGCTCGTCAAATTGTGCGTTGCTCATGCGTATATTCAGGACTGCGTCAACAGCATTTCGTAACTCTTGTGCTGGAACAACTCCGGTGTTGTTGGAGTCTCTTTGCCTGGAAGCACAGCTCAAATGTCATTAAAGGCTCAAAATGCTGAATTGTGGGGACAAAATCCTAAAAGTGCTTAAATGAGCTGTCCATTCATCATAGATAGAAAGATTTTAAAAAACATATTGTGGTTATCCATTTTCATAAAATTTAGTTAAGAAGCATTTCAGTCAATGCCAGGAACAAAAGAAACCAAAAAAACTCCTTGTCTGACCCATGGCATAATTTCACAGCTCTGTTCTTCACGATTTCACCTCCTCTTAACCATTTTCATCTCCCTCTTTCTCTTCTAGTCTTCATCATCTCAGACTCTTGCATACTCAGTCAAATCCATACTTTAAGCAAGGACAATGCCCACACCTTAACCAAAACACAGTCAGCAAAATTGTTTTTGGTACTTTCTTCTATTGAACTATAACTTTCAAACTTAAGAAAACAGAAATGGAAGTTTTGCGCCACAAGACTGTTTATGACAGCGGATGAATGGTAGTGTGAATCTCCAATGTATGATAACTTACTTTTCAAGTATGTTGCACAAAAATGGCAATGTGAATCGTCTACGTGAGATCACTTACTTAAGCATATTGAGCAGACGTATGTAGTCTGGGTGGAAAAAGTTGACCACACGTTGCTCCATGTCTTCTGCTCGCAGTGTTTCCTCCGTCTCAATACGCTTCTGCTGCTCTGTCATGCTGAAATGGGAAAAAAATATTTTCAGTTAAAGAGAAGCGGAGGAAAATATAGTTCCTTCAAGACCTGCACAGGCTGCTCTGTCTATAGCTCTCTCTCTAACTCCAAAGTTACAAAACAGACAGAAAACTGCTTGTTTAAACATTTACTGTACTCTAATTTGTTAAATTTTTACACCTTAATGAGATATTGCATTTGCCCTTACTTTACAACATCATTTTTAAAAACAGAACACCCCCAGGTTTTTAGAATAATTTGGAGTTGGATAATTTTTGCTCCACTCCATCAATCTCTTTCTCTCCCCCCCCCCTCTCTTTCTCTCTCTCTCTCTCTCTCTCTCTCTCTCTCTCTCTCTCTCTCTCATATATATATGTTATGTATATATATACACACAAATACATCTGTTCATACACAAAAAAAAGTTAGCAAAAACTCACCCATTTCTGTTCCTAGCAATCGCTTTCGTAGAGACACTGGAATCGCTGTGAGACTGGAACTTCTGCAAGAACTGGTTGTAGTTGATCAAGCCTTGCACAACACCGATGCCGGCCCGCCCCAGGAAGGCGTCCAGATCGACCGCCGCGATGTCATAGCCAAACTCTCTCAGGACGCGACGGAAGTCGATCCTCGCGACGTACCCGTCACTCATGAAGTCAAACAGTTTGAAAGCAGACTGAAGGTTGCGATATGTCTCTTCAAACTGCAAGAAAAAAAGAGTATCAAATACATGTAATGGCTAATTTGACCACAGCATGAGAATGGTTCACTATCAAATAATGTTTTTTTTAATGAGAATTGTTCAATCCTAATATATCTCTTCTGGAGATACCATCTTGCAGTTATATCAATAATTTATCAATCATTCATTTCCATTTTTTATATCAATTGTAATAAGTCAAAGACTACTCTTGATAATATAGTCCTATTACCAGATTTTTTAATAGAAGCTTCAAGCAGGGGCAGGGAAAGAATAACATTAAAAATCTAGGCTTCTTCAGCAGACAAAAAAAAAGAGGTTGTATTCAAGACTTGTAGCAAAACATTTTTCCCTTCAAGAAAAAAAAAACAACCACACTGCATATCAGCTATTTTGGAGTTGAAACAAATAACAAACGGGATGAAAAAATGACGGTCTAATAGGAAATGATTATTAGAAACCTCTCATGTTGAGACCCCTATCTACATAAAGGGACTTAACAAACAGATATATGTGCTGCAATAAAATCTTTTGCTACTTGTTACTTGTTACTTGTGTGAAGGACTGACATCACTGCACAAGGGGCATCCCCATAAGCGCTCCGTCCCCTGAAGAAGCACATCTCGAAGAAATCTTTTGCATTTATTTGTTATTTCCCTTCCATATCATTCGTCCAAATTCTCTTGAAATCGCACTCATTTCTAAAGCATTTCCATGATTATGGTTTCCACTGGACAAGCCCCCCTGATATCAACTCTAATGGTAAGGCTCTTCAACACTGCACGCAGAGAGTGGAAGTTTCACTCCCAAGGGGGGATGTCATTCTATTGAGTATACATCCCACTCAGCCTAGTTTGTCCCTGACAGGCAAAGTTGAAGCGGGCTGCCTACTAAATGATCTAAATTGTGTCAATAGAAATGTAAAAATGTATTAGCTTGCCTGTCGTCAGTCAGAAGAATTGAAAAAACATTCTAACAAATAAATCCTTCCTTCAGAGTAAAAAGAGTGAAAAAGGAAACAAATGAACAATACAAGTCCAGATAAAAATAAATTGTTATGAGAAACATTTTGCTACTTCATCATGATTATACTTGTAGATTTCAAGTGGACTGGCCATAAGAGTGATAAGTATAAGTAAACAGGAAACGCCTGCAAGTTTAGTCCTTTCCCTTCAGTAGCCACAATTATTATGTTTCTATCGTGTGGGTGTTGGCCTTTACTTATTGTAAGAAAAAGAAAAGGTCTAAACTTGATCAAAAACCAATGGAAATCTCTCTTTCAAGAGCAACCATTAAATGTAATGTAAAATTAAAAAGATTAAACAAACTGGCAGAAAAAAAGTGAATCAGCTACTTGCAGCGTGACAACTGTGAGCATCTACCATACATTTAGAATGTGACTGAGATAAAATTATCCAAAAGAAAGGAAACAAACAACAACACAACCAATGAAGTCACAAATTACAATTTGACAGGAATAGAAACATGTGAATGAGACAATGATCCTGACATCGATAATCAGGGAAATGTACAACATGTAATATTGAAATTACTGTCTTTGATACCGGAATGTGCTAACGCAGATTTCATGCAAACATAGGTAGACGAAATTTTCATTAAATGTGAAAGTGCACACAATATAAATTGCTTACATCCAAAAATTTGTATCGTTTCAACTGCCTAGCTTTGTGACACAGATTTGCTCACAAGTTAGAAAGGCGTCAAAAGAAAACCTTTTCCCTTCTTATCACAAAAATATCTACTAGTATGAAGAGCCAAATTGATTGATTTTAAAAGAAATAGTACTGAAACCAGAGAGGATTTCAAACTTTTCATTTCTGAACACGAAAAACACTAATTCCTTGATCTTCACAGTCCTAGTTGTGACCTGATGCCTGACTAACACGACTAAAAATAAGCATTGGCTGTATCGTGCCCAAGTGCAGCATTTCACTTATTTCTGTATTATATGTAAATGGAGTTGAAGTGTATCAGCTGTTAGCAAAAGACCTCATAACAAAGCAGGTTCTTTTAAGCCACCAAAGGCATATAGCAGTTTATTACATTATCATTTCTTCTGCGTTCTTTAATCTCTCCAATATCAACAGACATAAATATTTGTTGGGCTATCTTGATAATTAAAGGATCAAATTTTTCCAAATTTCATACATATAACAAGCATAGTGAAGAGTCATCAAATTCGCAATCAAATTTGAGAAAAAAGTTTCTTTGTCATGGAAACGGCGGCCGTATTCGATTTTGTTGACATTTCTTATACAGTGAATAACTCACATATTTTTCATGGAAATTGGTCGTTATTTTGAATCGAGGTTAGCAAACAACAGATCTACAAAACCCTTTCTCAAATTTCTTCTGAACGAATTAGAAAATTTTTAATGAATTTTTTTCCAGAGGTAGTATTCAAGTTTGCCAAAAATCCACGAAAACTCATGTTCCAGACACCATCAACACAAATCTATTCCTCGAAAATTCAACAGACCAATTTTCAGTGTTACATCTTCTCTTCATTCTGTGAAAATTTCATGAGGATCTTGGAAGAAAAATGGTATAGCTATTTAAAAAAGTATATAGAAAAGCCTTGTTTTGAGAAAATGAGCGATAAAGGAAAATAAGATTGACCTTAAGAGGAAATTGTGGTGACTAACATGCCTGGTATGTGAAGAAAAAAAAACACTTTTGGGGTTCTTATGTGAAGAAATAAAAATTGTAAGTGAGGCTGAAGAAGCCAGAAATGTATACATCTCAAAATCCATAATTTTGACCTGAATTGAGACTTTCAGGGTGTCCCCCCCCCCCAAACCCCCCCCCCCCCCCCAACAACAAACAAACAAAAAACCCATTTGCTTTGACAAACATTCTCGAAAGAAGAAAGTCCAGAGGATAAGATTCCTCATATCGTAGAGGGACATGATTTTATCCAAACTTTTCTTCTATTTACTTCCCTCCATACATCAAATACCTGAAATGTTTAACTATAAGGCAAAACAGGAGGAGAAAAATATCTAACAAGTGGTTAAAGACAGGGAGGAAAAAGGCGCAATGCTCAACAACTTTGTTTTTTTCCCAAGACACTAAATAATTTGTTCTAGTCAGCCTGTCTATCTAAAGTATATTTCCATTTTATGTATGCAGTTGTACATGATTCAGATGTAAATAAGAAAGACATTTATTGAGAAATGGAAGTGACTTGAAGGAATTCAAATGTCTCCAACAACACAATATGTGAAAAACTGACAACAAATTTTGCAGGTGGGAACATTTTCAGGAAAAAAGAAATTATTAGAACAGTTGGAAAGCGGAAACAATCAGAATAAGTACCAAAAGATAACATTTATTTGGTAGGAAATGAACACAATAATATTTCCTCTGACCTGAGCCCATTCTTATCAGCTGCGATGTTGAAAAAAAAAATTCTTGGAAAATAGTAAGTTCCTTTGAAATCATCAGCTTGCTTGAATGACATGCAAATTGAAGAAGGAACCAACTCTTCTGATTTATTCTGGATTTGTGTGGGACTCATCCAATGCCTGAGAAGTCATTTTATAAAGCCCGATCGACAGACTAACACAGTGCAGATTATAGTAGATAAGATTATAAAAACAGCTTGTGGGGAAAGGGATTAGGATTCTCTTTATCAATAGAGTAAGACAAATGATCTTGCCATGAGAGGGAAGCTCTCTCATCCTTTCCCGAGGCTCATCCATAATCAACTACACACAGATATGTTGGGTTGAGCGTGACGTTCACAGTGTCTGGTTACAGATCTTACTTACAGAAGAGGTTACAATACTCTACGCGCAAAAATGGCACTTTTATAAAAAGATTTCCGCAGTGACACTTGTCAACAAAAATTCTTAGTTTTCAACCATCAAACAAGAACAATAATAGTTACTTGATTACACATAAGAATGACCCTTTTCTTCTCCACAAACACAAGAAGGCTTCAATAGTGTTATAAACAGATCATATTATGAGTGTTGTTATGAATTATGTATTATCATAGGTAGGGAAACAGTATGTTGCACCAGCTTGCACTGAAAAGCATGGTTAAACACATCAACAACAGCAATGAAGTGGCGCTGAATGTGTCACAAAAACCTCACACCACACGAACAGAAGCTTTCCTCAGACTCTGATTATGCTGAAAAGTTGACACCTGATATGACGCACTACTGCACTATGATTAGCACAAACTCAATAGCAAACGAATAAATCCTCTACTGACAAGGAGTAAAACACTGTGCACTAGAAGGGGTGAATACCAAAATGATGGCAGTACAATGAAAACTTCACGTCTTCATCTGAATAATACAAAAACAAAAAAGCAAAAAACCCCAACAAAACAACAACCAAACAATTTTGAAATTGTCTTTTAGCAAAGCTAAACTTATGTGATATTCTTTTACAAATCTTTGCTATCAAAGAAATGGAAAAATGTCATAATGATTGGGAGAACATTTCAGATCTTTAGAGAAACTCTGGCTATGATGTGAGAGATACAGTGGTACCAAACCACACATGGTGCGCTTGTGTGCTCTCTTGCCGGTTGGAGAAGAAGAAATACAACATAATTCATCACAAGGATTAATTATATGTGTGACTAAAATTTGCATTATGGTATAGGATGCTAGAAGATGGGTGCACAAATCGTTAGTTAATAAAATCAGTACTCTCATTTTTTTCTTTTAGATAAAAAGAATTAAAGAGTTTTAAAGAGACTACCATATAAGCAAATGAATATCTCATTGGCCCATTGGATAACATCGATTAAAAAATCAAAACAAAAGTAAAGAGTACAAACTTGTAACAAAAATTTTGACATAAGCAAAAATTGAGGGGTTTTTTCCCTTCAAAAGGAACTTAATGACTGTGACAAAAGTTTACAAAAAAAGATTAATTAGTCTTTAGTTAGTTCTGTGATTGGTAATTTGACCTGTACTTGTGCAATACTATGCAAAGTTTTTGTCACACATATTTAGAAGAAGAACGGGTGAAGAAGTTTGGGGAGGGCTTTGTAAGGAAAGCAAAAATGTCGTCACCTGAACATGAGAACAATCAACAGCCTGTGGTTTGGGGATGGGTGGGAAACAAAGAGGGAGGTACAGAGAGTTAGAGAACAGCAAAACACGGCTTGCATCATCACATGGTCTTTTTTTCTAGTCCACGCTACAGAAAATAAAGGTTTAATGCTGAAAGCAACACTTAATATTATAATAATTAATGTTCACATGAAATGGGGTAAATTTATTATAAGAGGGGAATGAAATATGCAGTCTCTTGTATTATCTATTGAACTATAGGGTGTGTTGACATGAAAAATTGCATAAATTTACACATATATAAGTCTAACTTTCTTTATCAAATGTGTCCTGATGTTTTGGAATCTGGCGCTCATCAGTTTTGGGGCATATGGAGTTATTTGTATCATCCTAAAGCTTGTTTATCTGAATTGCATTTGGCGAAAAAAAAATAGCCTACTGTCTTGAATAGAAGTCAAGATATTTACGATTGAAGGGGGTGGGGTCGTTTCATGTCAGAGGTAAATAAGCGAGAAAATGGCCGCCAAAGTTTGGTGAATTCCAAAGCTTAAGTGTCCTTGGAAACTGCGAATTTACATTCTTTTCTGTCTTTGAAAACATTTTTCAGTAAAATTAACACAAAAATGTATCCTTAAATGGACATGGAAGGTATAGAGCCATTAAAAAAAAAAAAAAAAAAAAAAATAATAAAGGAAAAAAAAAGCTGGTTTCCTTGAATTAATTAGTTAAATGAGCGCCTGATTTCACCACGTTACCTCACAAATGTATCTGCTATGGAAAATTAGTCTAGAAGATGCAACTAATTCAGTCAAGATAGACTGCATGTTAAAATATCTTACAGCTTTGAGACTTAAAAAAAAAGAAAGAAAACAGGTCATGTTTTATTGGGAGCAATAGTAACTTGTACACAAAAGTACTTAGGTGTCAGCTTTCCAGTCTTTTGCTACCATATGAAAGACTGCAAGTCTTTAATTCTGCATGAGACTACATGTCACAAAAGGATAATACATCGGTTAAGGAATGATGGATAAAAATATTGATTTGACAGCGGGAGACGTGAGGTCAAAGTTATTGCTGTTAATCTACTTGTAAAAACCATGGCTGCAGTGATGCTTCACAGTGCCACTAAAAGGCAACACCAGGGTGTCTAGTAACTAGTTAACAACCAAATGAAGACATTTAGTTGGGTCTAGTAACACAAAAAAAACTGCAAAGTAAAAGAAAAATCAATGGCAAATGCTTACTTTATAATGCAGACTGTCCATAACAGTCTCAAACTGGGGGGGAGCTTTTTTGGCTTGAATCAGAGATCGCACATGAGAAGACAATTTGGCATCATCGACAAGCTGCTCTTCTCTCTTCTCAGTCGTTGTTTTCTTTGTCTTTGTCGTTGTCGTTGTCTCTGTTTCTTCGGTGGTGGTGACCTCTGTGGTGACCTTCTGCTGGCTTTTTGAGGTCTCCGGCCTCCGGGCTCCTTTCTGAGAGCCAAGGACTCGTGCTTTACTGCCCGTGATCTCAACAGAATCCACTTTAGAAAGAGATGTACTCTGTCTGGTTGTTGATGTTACTTGCATCTAATTGAAAAAAACAACAAAATAAAGAAGCCAAGTCTATTTTAGCAAGTTCAACATCTAGTAGCATTTGTGCTTAAGGGATGATGGGAAACTCTCACACTTAAAAGAGTAGATCTTACTTCTTCACTATCTCTCAGGGTCTTTGTTTGGCTTATCTCTTCCCACCGCTAAAATTAGATTTATCGGGTATCAGGTTAATCTGAACCTCTATAAATTTAACAAACAAACTTGAATGAAAAAAACCCAACATTTAATGCATGTCATTTATACAAGTCAGCTCCTGTTACTAATATATATATATATAAGGGCTTGTTTCCATCTTAAAGAGTAGCTTGCCCCTCTGCCTTCCACCACCCACCCCCGTCCCCTAATAAAAAAACCCAACCCAAAACATCAAAGAAAGAACAGTGTGGAAGGAGTTACATGTCCTCTTTTACTTTATTAATTGATTGGAGAGATGGACTTCTGATATGATATCCACCTTCAACAGAAGCTAGTGAAGAGGGTGGCAAGCATGGTAAACTTTCCAAGCAGCCCAAAAAGTAGATCTTCTATCACCCGAAGTTGTGAAAAGAAGAAAACAATATTAATACATCATCCTTATAAATGATGTTGAAGTGTAGTTAAAGTGGAAACAATTTGAGGCATTTGAGAGAGCGGTAAAGAAAAGAAAAGATGACCTTATTGTTCCTTTTTTTTTTTCTTTGGTGAGTGTTTTGCGGCGTTCACAACTGACGAAGGTCATATGAGCGCGCAGGAGATATTAAGCATTTTCAGTTGGTAGGAAATTTTGAATTTTGCACAGCCACAGCCTACTCTTATTAATCTATAATGTGCACAACTTGCCCATGGGTCCTCATTGATTTTTCGCCCTTATCTGAGAAGGCTAGGTGAAGACCTTACATACCAGAAAATCAGGGGTGTGGCTGAAAGACAGCACTAAGCAGGAGCCAAGGAGTAGCAGTAGAAAGCTGCAGCAAGCGTCAGGGGCCCAGTGGAGGGGGGCAAAGGAGGTGAGGGGGTGGGGTAGAAAGTGGAGATGAAAGCAGACGACAGAACATTGATAGAGAGCTCGAAAGAAGGTGAAACCAGAAAATTTTTTGTTGCTATCCAGATTCGAACCCAGGACCTATTGAATTAGAGGTGAACATCTTTATCTAGACCACGAGAGCCCCCTCCCTTTTCTTTAATTTTTCTTACAAGTGCCATGTACAAAAACCATAAAGATGGAGCAAAAGAATGTTATTCATACAGAAGTAACTACAAATTTACAAATTCAGATACAAAAAAACACACCACTGCTACTCATCACAGAGCAATGTGGGACAGATTTTTTTGGCCTGAACCAGAGATTACACATGAGGAGACAATTTGGCATCCTCCACAAGCTGCTCAACTTCTCTCTTTTCATTCGTGACACTCATTGTGTTTGTCACTGTTATCGTAAACTCTTTTCGCTCCTCATCTTTCTCACTGCAGTATCTATCTGTCTGTATAGTTCGCTTTTTCCGTGCACTAAATGACTGCTGTAGTATCAAAGCACTTCCCTTTAGTTTGCTGTAGCAAACAAAACAAATGAAATGATGGAAAATTATTTAAGTTAAGGGAAAAAAAAAATCAGAAGTACCTCAGTTTTGCAACGTTTCTGCACGGAATCACTTCCTTTTGTGGCTTTTCTGGAGTGGTGTGCACTTCGGACAGACCTGGGGTCAGACTTTGGGAGGCCGTTTGGTGACAGTTCCAGAGTTTTGTACAGTCTCTTTGTGGGGACAGTGCCATTATTGTCAGGGTCAAACCTAGGCAGACAAAGAGAGAAAAAGTCCATTAACATCTGCTCCAGCCGCATCATAGCCATATGTCATACCTATACATCATATCTCTACGTCATAATTATAGGTAATATCAATGCATCGTATTTATATCCTTTGTCATATGTAAATATAATATCTATATCATGTCATAACTATAGGTTATATTTATGTGTAATATGTTATTTCTGTACGTTATATAATTAATTGTCTGTCTGTCTTTCTGTTGACTAACCGATCAACTGATAGACAAACCTACCTACCAATCTCTCTCTCTCTCTCTCTCTCAAAAACATACCTGGATTATGACAGTAAGAGACATGGTACGTTCAAATCTGGCACAAGCAAGGGTGAAGGTTTACTAGCATGAGACAGAGTTCCTCTTTCCTTTTATCCCCCAAGCCCCCTTCAGCCATGGTTGGAAGGCAAAACTGGTCTCAGGCCATACTTTTTTGCTTTCCCTCTTCTACTGTTGCATTTCTGTCTTCCTTTTTTTCCAATACTAAATAAGCATTATTGTATCGATGTGCTTGTATTTACTAAAATTAAATCCCCTCCCCCTCCCCAATCTTAAATTCAGACGTCTTCCACTCCCTCCTCCTCTTCCCTCTCCCTTTCATGAAACCTAAACAATTTCAATGGACTAAAACCTACTTGAGCCATATATGGTCAAACTCATTATCAGTCAGCCTCATGTCTACTTGGGCCAGGGCTTCTCGCAGCTGAGGTTTGATAACTCGTCCATCGTTCACAAAACATGCTGCAGGAAGCAGATCTCGAATGTTCACTTCCCTGCAGGTCAGAAATAGAGATGGAAATTTTGTCCATTTAAGGGAACATTAACCCTGTATGTGCTACGAAACATCAGCACATAATCAAATGGTGTAGAGAAAGGCATTGATGTGTCAGTGTTTGGTACAGAAAGAGTTAAATGAAGTATGATTCTAGTGAAGTATTTCATGATTTTGTTGTTGATTTAAAATTCTGTAACATCTACAGTTATCAATATAATACACTTAACATGTAACCTTCATTCTGACACTGAAAGGGAATTTCACGATTTCATCGTTAATTTGACATTCTTTTACATCTGTTAAATATCTGCAGCATCTTCATATGTGAGGCATCGTGGTGGCATCAGGCGCTCGTCAAAATAATGATATAAAAAAACCCAGCGTTTGTCTAATTGTTGGGCAATTTTTTTTCAAATTTTCTTTTTCTTGGCTCAGCACCTTTTATGTCTTTTTCAAAACTCATTTCCGTGTGGAATTCATTGAAAAAGTTGATCAAAGGCACACAATTTGTAAATATGCAGTTTCCTAGGACTTTCAAGCTTTGAATTCACCAAACTTTGGCCGCCATTTTCTCGTTAATTTTACCTCTGACACCAGGCGACCCCACTCCTTCAATAACAAGTATCTCAACTTGTATTCAAGGTAGTACCTTAATGTTCCCTTAAAGTGAATTTTTAAGATTGAACACTGAGAGGTCTATGGTCAAGCTTTACAGTGACAACACCAGAACATCTCCGAACAAACCTATGATCTCTAATTCTCTTGTAACGCAGAGGCAGCAGAGGTAATCCATTTTCATCCTTTCTAAGGCTTTTCTCTTTGCAACATATATACACCATGTGTGCTAGACAGCTCTGATTCTCCCACAAATAGTTTTTAAAAAAGGAGTGCACTTCTCATTAAATTTTGTATTGGTTAGAGTTTTACAGCATTTGTGACACAATTTGGTCATATGAGTGCTGAAGATTAGAAGTGTCACAGGAGAGTAGCAAACACAAAAAAGAAGGAGGTGAGATAAGGAAGATATATATTTGAAAGGAAAGAAGGAGCAAACCAATACAGAGCATCTGTCAACCACCCACCATTAAATCTTGAAACCTTTCATCAGAAGGAAGTGTAACACTGATAACATCAAGACAGACAGGCAGTAAATCAAACAGACACACAACGAATGCAGACTGTTGCATGACAAATGCGACTATGTTATCGTTCCAAGTAAAAATTTCAGTAACCAAAGTTATCAATTTCAAATTCGTCAGCCAGACGAATGACATTGCACACATTACTACATATAACAAATCATGGAGTGTGTAAAGAGAAATAATGACATTGTTTTGAATAGATAGATAAGCAGGCAGGCAGGCAGGCAGGCAGACAAAAAGATGAACGGACAAACAGACAGACAGACAGACACATAAAAGCTTGGCTAGCATGCAGGAAGTGGGCATACCCTTTCTGAAGTTTCTTCCTGAACATGACAAAAGCGTGGGGGGCACTGGTAAAGGGACACCACTCCAGCATGTCTTGACTTCGCAGGTTTTCCTCTAAATGTACCGGTTTCGGATATTGCCGTTTGCTTAATTCTGCGACAGAGTGCATTGCAACAGACTGAGGAGATTTTGAAAAAAAGAGAAGAAAAAAAATCGTTGCCATGGGTGATAAGCAAAACATTGTCAAATATCTAGATTGGGAACCCAAAATAGGATTATGGAAACAAATACTAGTCATTTTCTTTTCGAGCTGTAGCTCACGAAGCGGAAACAATCAATTATAATGAGGCTATGTCTCCATTTCGTACGACAGGGGCCACACTGATTAATTTGGAGCTTATGAAGTAATTGGCATTAACAAAGACAATCTATCGGTCAGGGATGCGTGGAACGTTAGGTTGCAAAACCTGCAGTTGAGTCAGGCCTTGTTAAACACACACACATACACATGTGCATGCACACATACACATATATACAAACGCCCTAACACACACACACACACACACACACACACACACACACACACAAACACATATATGCATGTGCGCGCACACATACACACATACACACATGCACACATACACACGCACACACATACACACGTGCACTCACACACACACGCACACACACACATATGCGCGTGTGCACACACACACACACACACTCACACACATACACACAAACACTCCCCCACACACACACACATACATACGTGTGCACACACACTCACACACAAACGCACACACACACACACATACATACACACACACACATATACACATACTCACAGACATATTATTTATTATATTTGTGCCAGAGTGAACGTGAAGGTGTGTGGCTTCAAGAGTGTATTTATAAGTGTGTATTTATAAGCGTGTATTTATAAATGCTTATGTGTGTGAGAGAGTGTGTTTGTGTGTGTGTATGTGTGTGTGTGTGTGTGTGTGTGTGTGTGTGTGTGTGTGTGGGTGCACATGCGCATGCGTGTGACAAAAACAGAGAAAGAAAGAACATACAGACAGAGTGAATTCGCATTTTCTTTCTTTTTTTTTTTTTCAATAACAACCTAAAGGTTATTAGATTTCAGACTTTTTAGATGGGCTATTGATGCTATCCCTAAGGAACTGGTAAAGTCTACTACTGTATTTTTTTCCTGCAAGGCTATTCCATGGTTACTGATGAGACATTTGGACTATACTTTCTTACAATGGTACCACTGTAATTCAGTATCAATGAATTCATTTCAACTTTAAATGATCAGAACGTTTGAAAGACATATCAAGATTCATATTAAATGCAAACATTTGAAAAAACTCAAAAACCAAGTACTTTATGCAAATCCGTTGACGTGTGTAGTTTTGGTAACTGACAGGACCGAAAAAAATATCTAATTTGTCCCGTCAGTTACCGTGGAATAGCCCTGCATTCTTTTCACGAGCCTCAGGGAAAACTTACCGGGTCGTCACGGAAACGGACAATGAACTCATCAAAGCTGACGCTAGATCTCCAGTGAAGGCAGATTCTGCAGGGAGTAACGGGAGAAGGCAGGTCAGGGACGGTCATATGTTACCACAGGAGAAGGAGGAGGGGAAGGAGGGAGAGGAGGAAGATGACAAAGATGAGGAAGAGAAGGAGAAGGAAGAGGAGGAAGAGGAGGAGGAGGAGGAGG